TGCCAGGACTAGCCTACATAAATTTCACCGCGGAGGCTGTATTGCGAAAGCTGACGTCTCTAAGCAAACATAGCCCGCTGGGTGTCGACACCATTCCTCCGGAAGCACTGGAAGTTGCAGCAAGCCAACTGGCAAGACCTCTAGCTCAGACCAGAATCAAGTTCCCGCTATGTGGAAGCTTGGAATAATAACTCCGATTCACAAAGGCGGAAGCGGAGCTGATCCCTCCAAACACCGCCCAGTATCCCTTCTTCCTATACTCTCCAAGGTAATCGAATCCAATCTTAACGATGCACTGGTGTACCATCTGGAAAACTGGAATATCACACGCCTGAGCAGCACCGTTTCTGTCGACAGCGGTCGTGTACAACGAAGTTACTTATCGCATGCAGTAGTTGGACTGGTGCAGCTGGCGCTGGAGAAGGCGTTGATATAATCTACCTGGATTTTTCCAAGGCTTTCGATCGTCTAGACCATCGGATACTACTATCCAAGCTGCAGCATTACGGGATCGGAGACCCTCTTTTAAGCTGGATTGCCAACTTTCTACTTCAACGGCGATTAGTGGTCAGAGTTCGGAGCTCTTTATCGGACCCATAAAAGTCGTGTTCGGTTTGCCGCACTCGACTCGTAGATCCAAGTTTGTTTTTGGTGTTTATTAATGATCTTGCACAAAGGAATCGCCTCAAACTTCCTAATGTTTGCCGACGACATCAAGATCTGGCGCAGGATCCAGGCGAACGCCGACCAACATGTGCTTCAGAGTGATTTAGATACGGTGTATCAATGGTCGACCCAAAACTCATTGCATTTCAACGTCAGTAAATGCAAGGAGCTTTCCATCCGACATCAGAGCATCTACTCATACCGACTCGGAACGAATATACTCCAACAATCAGCTGTCGAACGTGACTTGGGTGTCCTGGTTCAAGATGACTTGGGTTGCTCCAGGCAATCCGAAAAGGCCTCGAAGACTGGGAACCAACACTTCGAGCTGTTGCGACGGGCGTTTGGATAAGTAAACAGCTGCGTATTTCGACAAATGCTCAGGGCGTATGTTCGCCCCGATGCGGATCACGCAATTTACGCCTGACATCCATGGCTGAAACGCGTCCTTAATGCACTAAAGCAACCACAACGTCGGGCATCTAAGAACGTAATTGGAATTCGCAATCTTTCATACCAGGAGAGGCTGCAACTATTGGGGGTGTTCAGTGGAAGCTATCGCAGACTACGAGGCGATCTGATTATGGCATACTTGATTCTGCGAGACCCACATCATGTGTGCCGCCCTTTACTGCAAATCAGGAGCAATACAAACCTGAGAGGGCACTCATTAAAACTCGCTGTACAGTATAGCAGTCTGGAGTGCCGCAGAAATTTCTTTTTTATTCGTGTCTGTCACCCGTGGAATGCTCTCCCAGAATCTGTCGTCTCTGCACCGAGACAAACAGTATTTAAAAGAGGGTTGGATGACGCACTCATGCACTTACACATTATCACTTAGTACTACGTCTCCATCCTACACGTGGAGTTTACCATGGACTTATTCAATGTTAACTGCGGGTGCTGTGAATCTAAGCGAATTGCCGGACTAAAGCAGAGTAAACGGTAAGTCCTTATTTTCATATTTAAAGTATTAACTGTTTTACGATTATTAGTATCATTATTGTTGTGTCGAAATCCCCACCAACTACCCAACGGGACTTGTAAAGCAACGCTTTTTAACCAGTATAAATTCACTGTTCACTGTTCTTCATAAATGATCTCGCAAGCGTGTTATCTTCTAATTTTCTACTATACGTCGTTGATCTAAAGACATGGCCTGCTATCACAACATTAAACGGTCACAGTTTTATAAGATGAACTGGATGGAACATGCACATTGCTCTTGGAGAACATGCTGCACTTCAACGAGGCCAAGTGCAAACTTCTGAGTATATGACATCAGTGTGCTCACAGTTACCGCCAACGGCCACAAATTCTACAGCTGGTTTCTCAAGAGTACGTTCTCGACATAATCTTGCCAGATGATCTTGGCTGTTGGAGGCAGACAAAAAGGCCTTCGAAGAAAGCCTATTAGTGCATCGGCCTCGTACTTAGGGCACTCGGGAGGTTCAACATCTCAGTGTTTCCAAAAATGCTTGACGCGTAGGTGCAGCCGCATGCCGACTACGCTAACCAAGCATGGAAACGCTGACAGGAGCACCAACTCACCGTGCTCGATACTGCACAACGCAGGGTGATGAAGATTGTCATAGGTTTGTCGCACCTCCCCTACGGACTAAGACTGAAAACTTTAAAAATACACAGAGGAACTTATCAGCGGCTATGGTGAGATCTCATATTGGTGTAATAGGATCCTAATAATCTCAACCAACCTGCCATCCTATTTTGAAACTCAGCCAAAGCACATCTCTGAAGTTGACCACCCAATACATCCGACTGAAATTTTGACTAAACGTTTTCTCTCTCCGAATGTCACAGTCCTGGAACTCTCTCTCTCGGCGCTACACCTCAACCCTATTCAAAAACGCTTTTACAACACTCTGACACAACTGCACTACATGATATAACCCATGGTCATCAGATGATGGCATTAATGCAGAACAAACAGTAGACGATGTCATAATCCTTCTAAACTCCGTGCAGGAATGCTCACACATGGGCTACTCCAATCTTTTTGGTGAGTTACGTGTCTTGAGAGTGTTTTTGGTGACACTGATTTTAGCTTGTAATTATCACCCTAAGTATCCTACGGGACTCTTCAAGCATTTGCTTCCATCCCCATTATAAGTCATCACACCATTGCAAATAAATCCTCTCCATTATTTGAATGAAGAAGAATGTTTGTGATTTCTGGTTTTTACTGCTGGGATCCCGTAGAAGCAGGTCCAATCTCTTGACGAGTTCCACGAATAAGTGGCACGGATAGTTAATTCGCAGGTACATCTATGGCGGGTATCCATAGCGCTAGGTTGCCCGTGAGCTTTGTTTATGAAACAGTCCACTGAAAACATGGAGCTCCTAATGCAAATCTTCAGTCCTTGACAGGCATGTCGGAACGCTTATAGGTCCATCCGGAGCTGCATGACAACGCAAGAATACATGGTATAATCGAACTAATCATGTATTTCCAAGGTTGTGTATACAGGCTATAAAAGTGAGAGTTGGTTTTCTGTTCATATAGTTCCGTGCTAGCCGCCTTTCCATCATAGCTTCAGTCAATAGGTGTCGAAAGTAGGCCTGCGGGTACGGCGTAACTTAGATTGCTTGCTGCGGAAATTCAGCGTTAGGCAGTATGTGCGGTGCACTCACCACGTCCGCATTGTGCATGTCCAAATCAATTTGTTTGCTTGCATTGAGCCAATTACCTCTAAGGGGTAGGGTCACTGCACGAGGAGCTTGACGTAACGAACAACGCTTAATCCTGCCTAACCCACGGTAGTCATATCGTGAGCCCGTTTGAGCTGTACATGGAACCAGGATGTCAAATATGACACAGAATGTGTCGATAATTTTGTTGAAAAAGCGATGGTTGATGTCATTAACGTTGGTAATGGTATCCTCGACTTTTAGTTGTTCCTAGTTATTTCGGAATTAGGTATCTGTTCTGCAACGTGGAGTAGAGTGTACTGTAATTCGTGTATTGCTGACCCGTTCCCCCTGGAAATACTTGGCTTCCTAGCATGTTTTGGCACTTATACGAGAAAGGTTTGATAGTTTTTATAACTGTTCTATCTTGCAGATGCCGCTTGAGCCAGTCAGTAGAAACCACCCTGCGGGTAGATACTGGTCACCAATGCACAATTGCGCCCTCAGCGAAAGTTGTTCAGTGAAGAAGGATTGTTATTCACTTGACAATTCGTATAACGTTTCCTCTTTGAACCTCCTATATTTTCACGATATTCACTTTTCATGATGCGTACTGCAAAATCAGTACATTCTACTGCAATGCAAACTGCACTATAGCTGCCCCACTAACATATCAAACTGGCATCTCTAAAGGTTCACTCTACAATTGGGTCAGGACGTTGTCACCATCAGGTGAAGAGTGCTGGCTGGATTTGACAGTTGTGGTCCCCTCTTATTTATTGGCACAACGTCTCTTTGCTCAGTGCATCAACCTGCAAATCGCTTAGAAAGGTACACACTTAACTGGTTCAGCTGTTCATTTGTTGACAAATTGAATGCAGACGTTTCTCTACTATTCGTGGTAACATCATCGAGGCAGATATATCTGTGACATGGGCATGAAAGTCGTGCCAGGCGAATCCAGGAATGGACTATTCCTGGTCCATTTTTGAATTTGCTGTTATACGGAAACATTTGGAACACTCAAAGTATCTGCTGAATCCGAATCACCATCGTTTACTCGGTTAAGTGCTTACATAACTTAAGTTAACTGCACCTGCATGTATTGATTTCCAGTAAGGGACCTAATTAAGTAAGAACCAAAGTGGACATATATTTATCTTGTAAAATGACTGTGAAGTAATCACACAAACACTGAGTTGGCTTGGTTATTAACACTTCCCTAAATGGGGTCCTCTGGATGGGTAACGGCAATGGATACATACTGGATATGTCGCGGCCACCAAATCGGTATCGCTTCTGCATTACTTCCACCATTTCTGACTTTTAACTAATCCGTCATTTGGTTTTATTGTCTAAGCCTTATCGTGATATTTTATGATTATTATCATTAGTGACATTCTGGTAGCCTGGAAAGTGGTAACTGGATCAAACTCCTCTAGATACATGGATCATATTCGCTAAGCTGAACCGGATTAGACTCGTTAGTATATCACATCCATATTCACTGCTATCACGTGTGATGCCAACCTCTTTTCGGCGGTTGATATTGTGTGGTAGTGATATACTCATTATTAGTGTGGTCATTGTTCATTTTTCCCGCTAGCGTAATTTTCTGATTGTGACTAAATACATTGAGTACTTGTTTGCTGAAGCCAATAAGAAATAATGATGTCAATCACTTGTAAAAAAGGGCATTTTCTGCTTTATTAGTTGGAAAATCTCTTGTACAAACGGTTTGTTGGCAGATGCCTGGAGGCTTTATATCTCACACAGGACCAGTTTCACGGCATAGTTCAGATATTTGTCTTTGAGAAATTCGAAATCCACTGGACATTTACTGAATATTTTCTCACAAAAGGTGCACCGGGTCGACTTCCTTCTCACCCATCCCTCTGACTCACTAAAGCACAGATTTGCTCAACGTGCTCCGTTTAGTCTTCTATGGATTCTGAAAGACCTTGTGTGCGTGAGTCCTTGGCTGGTGAGTGAACTCGGGTTCAATGTTTTCGCTGTCAGTAATTAAGGGCAAAAGCTGCACACGAATTGTGTGCGAGAAAGTGTGTTTGCAATTGTACGAATATATGTGATTGGAAGAGGAGTTCTTGCAACTGATTGACGGAAATATCATGAAAGACGACAGATCATATCACATCTCCATCTTCAGTTGGAGTAACTCCGTTGGATGTCGTGTTTTCCCTTAACACGCTTACTGATACCAAATGGGGTGAGAGCACATCGTTCGCTGGATTTTGTGATAGAGTTCGCTCCTCTATCTGCTTAATGCAATGGGACAGTCGATCGGTCAACCTGCTTTGTGCTTCGTTGTACGCCTGTTCGTCACCAACATTTCCGGCAAGACATGTGCGTGCCGGCTCCCACAGGTCAATTTCCGTTGGGTATAAAAGACTGAATATTTCTGGATGAGGAAAAAAGCGGTTCGATGGAGTCCAAGTTTGCAGACATGTGATTTAGGTACAAATTCACAGAAGTTTTAAACAAGAAGAACAATTATTTGCTGCAACCCACCTAATTAATACTGGCGAACCAGGTCAATCGGGAATAGCACACTGTCACCTCATAAATACTGTACTGTCAGCCCGAAACTAATAGTCCCGGCTTAGTAGCTTGAGAGGCGAGAGGGTGCATGTTCGTCCGGATATAGATTCAACTGACCGAGAGCGCCTCAAGTGTGCCATCCTCGAGCTAAAGCGGAGGACTTAAATTGTCGAAACAAACTTACTTATTGCATGTTTTCAGATGGTTACAACACGAACACAAAATCCAGATTAATCGGTTGCTCGCTCTTCAGTCACGCCCCGTAGTTTGTATCGCGGTCTGCATATATGCCTTATCATCTTCTGCAATCCGCGCGATTGGCTGTGTCGTAATGTTGCTTTCCAGCGACCAGATTTAATGAGACTCCCAGAGAAGGGGTTGAATTCTGAGGTACTAATTCATGAACTTAAGCTTAGTGGCTACTCGTGCTTCCGCTGTGATAGACCATCGAATGCGCATGGTGGCGTCTTGCCCTACATCTGGTCTGCTCGGTCTAGGAGACTTCTGTGCGCTCAATTAAGCGAAGATAGTCCATGTGAGTAGTTGTGGTAGTAGAAGCACCTCAGATGCGAAGAACTATTCGTGGGTGCATTTTACCGATGTCTCCTGGACCGATGTTTGAATTAACTGTCGCATTTCTTGGACCTATTGAGTCGCCGTCATTTTTTACTCAGACGCTGTCGATTGTCTTCAACTTATCCTGGATATTGTTAGGCCGAAGCATAGTACTCTCTAATGGTACTTAAAACTGGGGCAGGAGGATTTGTCTGCCAACCGACGCGCGTAACAACGCGCTCAACGTTAGCGTGCTCAGGTTTGATGTTGACAAGCAATGCACACCGTGTATAACATTCAGCTACTGGAGTCTAGCATGAGACCACTCAGTTCTTGTTGCCAATTTGGAGCTACCGCTTCAGCAATTCCGCGCACTGCAGCCACGTTACAATTACTGGAAGACAGATTTCGATAGCTTGAGCAGAGCCGCAAGTCAAGTGGATTGTTCATTGTCCTGATCTGCATCTGTTTAAGCCTTCTGGTAATGTATAAAGAATGGATTAAACATATGGTATAACTGGCTTGTGCCTCTCAAGAGTCTGAAAGGCGAACCAGTTTAGCCATTTTGCTTCGACCAGGAACGTTGTAAGCTGGCTCGGCGGGGGTGCAGATAGTGGTACGAATTCTTTACCTCTGGCTCGGTCGGCGACTACGAGGCGCATAAAAAGCAGCGAACCGTTCGCAGCAGCATGAAAATGAGCAAGTGCCGGCATTTCGAAGGGTAATCGCAATTGCATCAAAGACCGCTCCGAAGCGAACCTCTGTTTATGTGAAGCAGAGCCTGGAGCAGGCAGGGGCTAGTCCTTGTTAAAGGGCGCGGACGAACAGCCCTAACCACCAGCATTGAGCGTGCGTTCCCATTAGCGGTACGCTTTGTTTCCGTGTTTGTAAATGACCAGATGTTTGTAAGGAGTTCAATTTGCGCCACCACGGTGTGGCAGTGTGTGTCAGCTAATCATCAATCTTGACGTAACCAAGCCTGATGGACTTGATGGGTTCCATCCCCAGATTCGCAAGGCCATATAGTCCATCCAGTCGTCGGCCGTAAGTGACCTGTTCAACAGGTTTCCGTCCGAAGTCCCGTCGCTTATTGATTTGAAATGCTTTGAAATGATTCAGAGTGGCGGTGACCCCGGAAAACTAGATAATTACAAGCCAGTTTGTTTGACACCATTTTCGGCTAACTTTGCCGAGAAGGTTGTGAATAAGGTTTTGCTACACCTGCTCCGATTGAAAGATCTGCAGACAGATCACAACACGGTTTAATGCTAGGCCTTTCATGCATCACCAAACTGCTCGTGACGAGGCATGAATTGTTGCAAGCAATGAACCAGAGGAAGTCTTTCGACGTAAGCTACATCGAATTAAACAAGGCGTTCGACATGAACCACAAGGTCATTCTTCACTACACTGGTGTATCCGAGAATTTCTCGTTGTATGTAAGTGGAGAGTATAATCGTTGGACATCTAACCGGCTGGTACCGTACGATTAATGGCGTACCCCAAGGCACGGTGCTATGGCCCACCTTGCTTCTGATTTATAACAACGATCTACCTCAGCTTCTGTGGATATCGTGTGCCCTGTTTGCGGATTAACTGAATATGTAGAGATTGATAAGCACTTCCGACGACTGCGGCCTGCTTCAGCTAGAGCTTAACCGCCTCTTCATGTAGTCTGCAGAAGGCCACCTTAAAATCAACCCATCCAAGTCAAAATTCATGAGCTTGGGGAGTAGTGCTGACGCCTGAACTTACAACGTTGACGACCGAGTGCTACAGCTCACATCTACCGTGAAGGATCTAGGCGTACTCTCAGTTTGTCGTTTGAAATTCGTGAACAACACGAACAGGCTACACCCAAACCCACCGCGCATGCGCTGGGAGTTCGAATGCAGCTTCTGCATTTGGTATGAAGAGGTTGCCGCTCACCTCTTCTCGTCTATCATGTGACCAATGCTAGTACAGCTTGCCCGCCCATGACACGACCACTCCAGGCAAGGCCCAGAAGATCTTACGTGTAAAACACGTCGCTAACAGGCTCATCCATATTTTGCGGAGCTTACCGTACGAAGACAGGTGCGAGAGGCTGGGACGGTACACCCTGACTTGTTGTCAGCTGCGAGCCGATCTTGGCATGACTTACGGCGGTCTACATCTAAAAGACTTCCTCATGATTAGGTCACTACTCCACTTGCGAACACCTAGTAGCGCATGCGGACACGAGTGCAAGCTTGTGGTTTCAGACCTAACGTGAGTTCCCCATGCCCTGCGCTTTGGATGGTGAGTTTTCAATATCTGCAAAATTTTGCCCAGCATATAGTGGAATCAAACTCATTGCAGCAGTTCCAAACATTGTTAAAAACATTGTTCTGTAAATTAAATTCCTACTACGATTGCGCATTAACATCTCATATTTGCGCGACCCAACGCACTGTGTATCACATGATTGGTTCGATATCACGTGAGAAGTTGAAAAATGAGCTGGATACTGGCAAGTCGTAGATAGCTTTGCAAAGCGTTTGGCTATATTTTTGAAAGCATTGTACCGATTTGCCTTTCTACTTGCTTCCATACTAAAATGTTCAGTAATCAGTATCTACTATACATAGCAAGGGGATACAGCAACTATTGTTATTCCTCATCGAAAACATGCAGCAAATTTAAAAAGCAGGACCATCGGTGATCCCACCCCAGGCAAGAGACCCACATAAAATGCGTCTTTTCAAAGGCTACAAACCATTAATTATACTGCACAGTCTTGGTTGTTGTCATTCAATACATTGTTATGGTCACTGTACGAAAGGAAACCAAAGATTGGGATGTGGTTTTCTCTTACTATCATAAAATGGAATCATGCGGTTTGTACTCCCCTCGGTAGTGAGATATCGAATATGATCCCAGTCGTAGTTAGAGATTTATGACTGACGTTCTTCTACTTTATCAGCACAATATGTGGGCTTTGTCATTTTAGGTGGAAGTTCAGCATATCTAAACTCAGCCAATCATGAAACATATATCCATGAAACTATCGTTCCTTATAAAGTTGCGACTATCCGCATTTAGCTAGAACTATGTTATTATTCGTTCTTTCGCTACACGCAGTTCGACATGTTCCGTATATGGGTGCCATGTACTTCAATGGGGGCATATTTAATTAAAAGTCCGTGTGACCACACGTCAAGATCATTTCTTAGGTCAATCTATCAGCACCATATGTAGGTTTTATGATGCAAAACGAAGGAGCAGGGTACCGCGTCCGTGTCGCACTAGCAAGTCAACGGCCAAGTTGTCCTCGAGCGCAACATATATTGTGGCCGTCGTTTTCTATTCTCTTTGCTTTCCCATTTCGTCTTCGGTTGTTGGAGTAGCCACGTATCGTGCACTTTCAAGCCATCCATCTACTAACCTCTCGCTCGGTCCTCTATCGGCAGCTGTGACAATACCGTCCAGCTGGGCACGGGATATGACATAAGCCCATCATTCATCTAACTCCGACTCTTATTGGGTGGTTGACCAGCGGCCTACGAAGTATCTCTTTTGCCTTTCAGCCCCAACGATCTACTACGATCCATGTAGGGACAAGGCAGCCCATCGGACGCATACTGCAAGCAGCATGGACGGTGAATAAGAACACATATAAACCTATCCTCCAGATCCCAAGGAAATCACCCTGAATACTTGAGTTTCCGTTCCGTAATGCAAGGACTACCCAATGGTGCGCGATACCTAGACCTATTAAACCAGCACAACATGCGCCTCACAATACGGGAGCAAAAGTAACGCAGGAATCCAAGACGAAGTTCCTTTGAATGTCTAAATATGTCACAGTGCTTTGTTGTAACTGGCAATTTACGCGAGTAAGGCAGACCCGAGGCAAGTGAAAGGAAAAGATGAACAGCACCGCCAAAGCGACTTGGACATGTTTGCACGAGCCGGATGAAAAGTGAGAAATTAGAGTACGCTGTTGGGAATCGAGCAAAATTTCAGACATAGAGAAAGGTAAACGCGTTGTCCGCACTCGACACTAACTCTAGGCAGACGGCGCATGGTGCGATGACGGCTGATCGACCGAGAAAGAGGAACAGACGTAGCCGGCAGGTGCAAAGCCAAACAGCGCTAATGGGACAAATTGACCATACTCGTACGAACCGTATGAATAGATCAGAACCGCTTTAGTGTATTGTAAACAAAGCGCAACTATCCGCAATCAATATAAGAGTGATCCAAACAGCTGCGAGCAAAAGCTGAGCGCGAGCCAATGAACGCAAGCATGTGGTTAGCAAATATCCGCCATTGAAAGTGCGCTTTAGTAAAATATTGATTCAAATTTATGTACAGCGTAAAAGCCCCTGGCGGAGTTGTAATCCCTTGTCGGAGTTGTACGCTACTGGACGCGTTCCCATGTTGCGGATCGGGGAATACTTGCCTTGTGGAGGTACCTGTGAACAAGTCTCGTTTGCCCTGCAGGCGAGGTGAATAAGCAGTCGTGGACAATCAGCGGCAGCGTATCAGTGCGTGGGGAGTTCTGGGCTTGTCACCTGGTTCTCCATCAAATACCACAAGAGCTCATACGGCGCTGTGTTAAAGGCAATGTGACCGGCTATGTGGTCACTGACCACTCACTTCTGTAACCAGAGGTGAGTATATAACGGAGGGCGGATGGACAACCTTGTTGGCCACCGAAATCTCTGTGGACTGCTACTGAACACAAAGAAGGCGAATAGCCTACCCGAATGTCCACGGACTCCGTTAATTGTCCCGCTGCCTTGTGGGTCAGGTCTTTATGATCAAAAACTTGGGGTGGGGCTTTTTAAGTCATAGCGCTTACTCAGCCTGGACAAGTGGGAAACTCTCTGCCCGCATAACACCTTACCTTTGTAAACCTTACAAACCTTTCCACTGTCTACCTGTTTTCCCCTTTTTGTTGTTGTTTTTGTTAACTATATATTGTGGTACTGCCAATTTTGTATTGGTCAGGTGTTGATTAATGTTGATACAGCCTAAAATGACACTCTGCTTCTTACTAACTGATATTCTGTATCGCTGCCACTTTTCCGTTTCGCTTCTTGGAGGGATACACCAACGAGTTGTGCTCTAGCGGAGCTAATCCACCTAAGCTGCATATTTTATTGATTCTAAAGTGCACGTTTGGTGCGGATATGCACAACAGTAGCGCTCGTGTCAACCTTGTTGTTCTGTTCGAGGATAAACAAATGCACAAAACAAGCTTTTATCATTTGTATGTATGCATTAATAAGGTGATTATGAGTAAAAGATTTGTTGCAGTGTTATTGGAAATGAAAACCAGTACATCGCGCACTTCACCACAATGCTTTTGTATCTGTCTATCCGATAGCCATACAAGCTATAAAGGGGATATTTCAGGTCTGATTCCTACATGGAAACTAAGCTGATCTACCGGATCCCGTCTTTTGTTGTCTGTGAGGTAAATTTGTGTGATTTTGAGGTATGTTTATGTCAAGCAGTCAACCCACGATTTAGATGTGGGTAAAAATTAAAATTAAAGGTTACTTCCATGAGTACACAACTCGTAACATTTGCGTAACTAGCTGGGCTTTGACCACATCTAAAAGGTGTTCGCGTCCGAAACAATGCTCACTTGCACCAGACCAAGCAGAACTTGTTCAAGAACTAAGCAATAGGTATAGGTGCACATGCTTGCTATCAGAATGGACTTACGTTGGGCATTGAACTCTAGTATGCGGAGGTTTTTCAAGCAAGCTGTTACAACTGGATGCATTCCAGTGGGTTGACCGGCGACCACTGCACCGATAGCTTCATCTCCGAACACGTCATCTCCCGGGGAGCAGGTGCCTTGTTCCGCACAGTCTCGTCTGAGGTTAGCGCAGATAATATATTCCGATGTATGTTCAAACAAGAATATTGTTATTAACGCATCGCTTTTGGGTAACAGTGAACTTGGTGACAGAATGATAAGTTCAGCATGACCAAGATGCGCTTTGTAAGCTAAGGTTTAAGGCTTTATACGCTGTGAGTACATCTCCCATGCAAAAAAGGTGAAGAAGATAGGATCAAGGAAACCACCACATAAACGGAATAGTCCTGTAGTGGGTCGGACAAACGTAGATCCAGTGAGAGTAATCGTTTGCATTGACTGATAATCAGAAACGGAATTTAATCTGCTATAAACTCAAGGGAATACATAATGAGTTAGACGACATTCAAGAATGAACAAAGAGTAAAAATATCAAATTTAGCACGTCGAAAAATCATAGGTCAAAAATATTGCTGCTCCCGGATTTAAACAGCAACCAAAAGCTGGACTGATGGTCTCAGGATCGCACACTACCATATCCCAATTCGTAACATCTTTAACGCAATCGCTAACATCCAAAGTGCACAAGCTATCATTCTTAGTGCAGAAGCCACCATACTTAGTGCAGAATCTTTCCTCCTTAATGCGAGGGCTATCATCCGATAGTCATCGAACTTGCATCCACGTCGCACTGCGTGGGCAGACGCTACCAGCCAATAGAATTCGGTATAGCGTAGAGACTGAACATAGTTACCCGCAGGATACTCACCCTTTCGAAGGTGAGTAGGAATACTGTGAGACTTGGGTGAGACTAGCGTGGTCCAACTCAAATGGATGGCAATTGAGCCTTTACTAAAAGAAGCACGGCCGGTGCACAGTGTGCCGCGCGCCCTCACTGGACAATAGGGGTGTCTGAAACATCCATTGGAGCGCACACAGTCCCTGAGGGAAGGGAAACGCGTGCGCCCAGACCACCGGGTATAAGCCTGAAGTGTAGTGAGGCCCCTTTTGTAAGTAAGCAAAGGAGATGTCTAAGGCCAGAGCGCAAGTGATGAACGCAAGACAAAAGTGCACAACCTTGGCTTGGTACTAAAAAGATGCTCTAAACAAGAGGTGTAGGTAGGTTGCCTCGTTTTGGTGGGTATTCAGGTTAGTTCGGTCGAATAGTTGAAGACGAAGTAGAAGCTACTGTTTGATCTCGTAGTCAAGTTGTCCGTAACATAAGGAGGGAAACGATCTCCGTCGCAGCAGAATGGATACCAGTCGCTACACAAAACTTCTTTCTTTATTCGATGAAATGTCACTTTTTGACGGATTCTAAGTTAAACGTGGGGAAGAAGGTAATCATATTCCAAACAATTCGCCCCCATACGAACCACACAGGTCAACTCTGATCGAGGTAGACAGGACAGCTCCCGGGTGGAGTGATATAATCACCAATAGAGGGATGAAGTAGGCATGCGATAGATGGTTGCTTGCAATCTTGCAATTTCCTTTCAAAGGATATGTTAAGCGGTGAATTATATTACTTTCCTCCTTGTTCCGCAAGTACGCAAACATGTAATATTTTGTTGCGAAGGGATTACACTACAAGCAGCTGGTCTCTTGAAATATGGGGGTATTGCGAGCCGGTGAACTCTACGGCTGTTGTCCCCAACCTTTGTATCGCGTGGACCGGTCGGCGTTTAATAATTGTACCCCGGCCCGCTGAGGGGTTTGTCGAACGTTTACTTTTTAGAATGTTTTAAGTGAATAATTTTAATGTAATTGTGATTGAATATGCCGTGAAAACAAAATACAGTTACACCAGAAAATAGATATAAAGGGATATAATAGGTTAACCCCCTAGAACGCTAAAGTAAGGACAACCGTGAGCATGTTCCTCTGCAACGAGACTGCTCCATCTGGGGGAAATAGGAGACAATGACGCTTGATGTGTGCTGCCTAGGTCCCGTTAATTTGGTTGCTTTGTTTCGGCTGCTGACACTGCAGAAAACCCCGCTTCACACAGTTAGGTTGTCAGAAATGACAATCTGCGCGTAATTCACTATGACTTTAATTGCAGAACACCGGCGAAGTTGTTTGTTACGAACGTACTATCAAGGCCGCCGTCATTTGCAATCACAGTAGTGGGGCGTAATGCGGGATAGATGAGTAATAATAATGCGATAATCTCACAGATTGCGAGTCAACCGTTTAGAAACGGACCTACAACTCATCGAAACCCACAACCATTAAAAAATCATACACACATTTCTATTGTCATAATCATTATCTACCAGTAAAATATATCAAACATAGTGTTCTGTTGCTTGGCAATTGCAATGAAAGGAATTTAGTTTTTCCCTCACATGCCGAAGAAGTGTAAGCATGCCAGTGCGTTCGCCAAGTATTGCGTAGGAGCGCGAAATATCAACTCCACCCTGTGCGTCTGTGAATTTATACGTTTTCAGAACATTTGTAGAATACTGTTCCTGCTGGTAGTCTGATTCATTATTCACATCCGCAGCTGCTAAAATTGATGTGGTTGGCCGGTCCCAGTTTATTTCTGTTGCGTGACATGTTTGGAAATAAGAAGCAACCAGATGGCTGTCAGTCAGGTTGCATCCAAACAATTCCTCTGAGAGAGAGTATCTATTGCAATTACGTTTGAAGGAGGCACAATTTGCTCATTTGTTTCAGGTCAAGTTCGCATTGTTCTCTCAGAATCTATTTCTGCAGTACAAGGAAAGCCCGGTCTACAAAACCGAGATGCTTGTGTTCTGCACCTCTTTCCAGGTAGAATTTATGTAGAACATGAAATTTCAGAAATTTTCTCGTCTCATGAAAGTAGTTCCGGACCTATCTTTGTGGGATTCTCTGATGGTTATAAAATGGAGAAGCTGTTTTTTTTCCTAAACTTCGATTTAAGCGCCTGAATGACACGCTGGTCGTAGCAGTAACACAGCATTGCTGGGTGACAGGAACGACAATTTGATATCAAGTAGGTGGAATTAGGGAGGGCAACGGCTTTGTCAAAAGAAGGTATGATGTTGCGTTTTACGGGATTTTGCGATTAAAGCTTCGGAAATAGCTACAGTCATCCATACCTTGTTATTATCCTTGTAAACTACCGGTAGTTTTTCATGCTGATATTACTAACATTCGAGAGTTGGCTGATTTCCAAATCACTGCAGCCAGTTCTCGCTCCCATAATATGGTAGTGCACAGCATAACTGTAACAAGCGCACTGCTTCTTTTCCCGCCTGCACATTTCTATCCTTTTACACAAAGCCTTTATCCGAGGTCGTTTTGAATAGCAAATCAGGTTCATGTGAACTAAAACAGTCTTGAGCTGTGTAGCTGGAACATATTTCGGGTAATTTATCTGCCTAATCGGATGCATCACACATATTTGAGTCACCGCTTTCGCCCGATTACTTACCAAACACAAGGTCGTCTAATGATGATAGCCTGTAACCAACTGTTCGACGATGTAAAGTCTGTGTTTTGTAATTCTTTTGCGAAGTGCAATGCACGTTCTTGAATCACGTGTCCAGATAATGGGATTTCCCTGTCAGTGCTGACTGGCACTATTTCCATTGCTCATTTTTCTATCATTCTTTCTTTTCATTCTTGGTGTGTGGTTCATAAAGTCATTCAAAAACGGCTTTCCTCTTTTATGTTACTTGGATTTGTGTTCACCCTACTCTGAAATTTCATGCCAGTGTTAGCGAACTGTTCCTTCTTAACATCGTCGAATAACTGATACCATGTCTTTGGCTTTGCTGAAGTGGAACTAGCCATTTTGTCCTCCGTAATAACAGTCAAAAAGAACTATAGAAACGAACGTGAATATTCAGTAATGACGTGCTCCAGCAGTACCCGCTCAGTTCTGATAATCGACTGGTTACACAGTAAACAAATACACCCAGTAAGTGATAGTCACAGTACTTGCGACTGTATAACAGTATCACAAATCCCAGAGTGCGCGAAGGGAGTACCACTGCTCTTTTATTATGTAATATGGCTCTCTCAGATTTGTTTATTGCACAGCCCATAGAAGCATACATGCATCAGTTACATTGGTTGAAAACCTGGGGTGGGGAGAGGGATGCGTCACTCGACAATTCTGGTGTGACTTCTCTATGTCGTACGTTGTCCACCGCGCCTGTCTAACAACTGCGAAGAACGCGCGACACGGAAGACGATGACCGGGCATATGCAGTACGTCTCCAAGACACTGCAGCTGACGCAGCGGGACGTGCTCCTCCAGCGAATGGCTGTGCCCACCCAAGCCACACCGTCTAACTTTCACATTGGTTACGTGATGCAGCTGTCACACACGGGCAATCGACCGCAAGCAACGGTGCTCAAAGACAGAGAGTCGCCACAGGTCGGCGATATCAACAGGCCAAGTCTCGCAAACGGACAACAGTACAGTGAAAACCGCCGCACAATAAACCCGTCCTTTGATGGATATACGGATGTTACGGCGGCGCCACAAGTGCTTCAGCTTAGAGAAAAAGAGGCGAGCTCTTGAGATACGCAACGAAAGCAGGCCTCCAATAGCTCCATTGGCTGTGATGCAACGAATTAGGTAAGCAAAAGTATCCGTAACCTCCAGTGTCTCACCACCAAGAGTGAGTGCAGGTACAGTCATCTGAAAGTCTTGGAAAAGAGCTTCTCACTTGGATGGGGTAAAGTCATCCCATATTTTGACGTTTCAATCGCAAAGCGGTTGAGTGCAAGTTGGACGGCCTGTGGACCGTCACAAAGCAAGACGATATCATCAACGTAGTCCAAGTCAACAGCTCAGCTCCCTTGTAGGAGCTCAACGCCAGCGCATTTAACGAATTATGCAGAGCATTCTTTAGGGCTTCCTCAATGACAAGATTATTAAGATATTTACACCTACGTTGTCCCGGATTATTCCAGATGAAAGCTTCAGCCAGAAGTTACGCAGGTTAGTCTTCGTTTAGGGACAACGCTATTCATGATTGTGTTGCCACATGTAGCAAGTGTGCATCAACAGCGAAACTCCCGAGCAAATTCATCCAACCCTGGATGCCAGCCTCT